AAGTTGATAAGATAGGTTTATATGATGCATTTATCCTTATATTTTGCAAGAATCGATTGTACTCGTAAGATATCAACCGTAACTGAGAAGTTCTCCTGTTCATCCCACAGGGTCAACGCAGGTGTTCCTTGGGGATCGTTTTTTTCCCCGACATAATTGATTTTACACATTGATAACCTCTTTTTCTGCACGATAACTTCAGACAACAGCTTTACGGATAACATCACTGATCTTTAACTTAATAGTGATTGCAGTTGCTTCAGTATTGAAAAAGTAAATGTTGTTCATCTAAGCTTTTTTCCATGATTATACAAGTGTTGATATCTATGCATCGCCCCTGAGCCCCCTGCACATGTTGAATTTGATGAATATCATGTTATTACCTCAAATTGTGCTGACGTTAGGTGATTATAGGTTCGTGTGCGAGAAGAGTTCTGATAGAATTGATCAAAGAGCCGTAATAAAATGTCAGCAAAAACTGAGTATGGCGATTACTGCAATTCGACAAAACATTTTGGCACTGTTGGAGGATATGTAGTTTCTCATGATCTGGTCCAACCACGGTGTCGTGATGTTAAGTGTGGAAAGGCATCTTATGAAAACCAACAATTTAGTTACAAGTTATAAGGTAACAAGATACATAAAGATAATGCTCCCAGCTGTACCCCCTGCATTGCGATGGCTGCCCTGCCCCAAGCAAGCTTTGAATTTGTAGATTACTAACCGCATTCGTCCGTTCTCTTCCGCAGTAATTTCATGATATTTCTGAATGGAATTTACGAAAAAAGGCATTTTCAAGCAAGTAACAAGTGATAGGGGAGTATTTTTCAGGAGTTTGACATAATTTTTATAGGGAGCCTTTTGAAGTTCCGGAGCACCTCCTAAACAGGAGCATTGTTGCTGTAACGGATTGAGAGAAAAATAAAACAAATAAATTAGGGGCAAGGGTCGACATAGGGATCAAGTTCCTTACCATGTTCTACATGAAATCTCTCGATTTTTTCTTGTCTTTCATACTCAACTTCTATTAACTGCAAAAATGATGAAAGGTGGCCTAGTTGACAGGCTTCGCGCCCCCACTACTATTACTTCTACTACTATTACTACAATTGTAGCTGTAGTCACCGTTCTTGGCGGTCATGCTATCAGCTCCATACGAAATAAGTAAACAGATCGAGTCTGCGTACCATGGGTGGAACCCGGCGGAGACTAATCTTCAGCGCATCTGCTACTTTCTCCAGTACGCATGAAGTGGGTAACAGGGGACCGCTGTTTTCATTCTCTTCCTGGAAATACTTTAATAAATTTAGCACGAGCTGCCTCCTCCATTGATCGTATTTCCGGGCATTGTACAATTTGGACGGCGTTGTGTATAACTTGACCAAGCGCCATTTGATAAATTTTCAGATTTTGCTGCCATCTGATCCACAGTTGTTCAACTTACCTATAAAAAAGTGAAGACAGTATAAGAACCTGAGGTTCAAAAGCGAAAACATTTTTAACTAAGCGCCAAGCGTAATATTTTGCCACTGGCAAACTACAGAGTTTTTTTGCTGATCGTCAACACCATACTGAATCGCTGAAAACGAAAGATATTATAAGAGTGAAATTACACAATCAATAAACTATTAAATTTGCAAAAGAAAGAGAAAAGAGTTTGGGCCAGGAATGGGCACTCTATTATCAATGAAGAGAAATTCAAATTACTGATAAGTGATAAATAGAAAAAAAGGTCCCGTGATTTTGGCACGTTACAATTTGTTGTTATTTATTTTGCAACGCAGACCAAACGACTAGATTTTGTGTATAGTGAGCATTTGCACGACCAAAGTCTTGCATAAAGTGACCAACCAAAATTAGAGAAAGTGAGGTGTTTAAAGACAAGCCTTTCAGTATTTTTGTTGAAACTAATTTTGAAGCTCCCTCTAAAGACATTAATACTGAGAAAAGACGTGGCAGACCAACGAATGCAACTAGGAAGCAGAAAAGAAGATAGACGATTTGAAATCATTACTAAGTCTTATACCCAAGGGTTCCAATAAGTTCTTTAGCAATCTAGTTGGCGATGGAAGATATAGATGGGTTCAATGGTCAACCAGATTTCGAGCTTGAGGATGAATAATACAAATTTTCGATTCAGGTTCTTGAATCATTTCGAAAATGTGTGGTTACTTTTTGCTTCATTTTATTTTTGAATCAGTATATAATTGAGTTTATTACAACATTTGAAATTCAAACAATTTCTTATTTTGTTTCGAGAATGTTTTAATTTGTGTAGTTTTAATTTTTCAATGAATTTGATGCTAGTTACTATAATACAAAAACAAAGAATCTTTCTGTAATGCGTTCCTTATTTTGCATAGCATGACCAAGTAACATTTTTGTGTCGAGGTCATTAAGTCAAAAGAAAAATGAGCATTTTTTTAAAGCAATACTTGGCCAAGAGCTATTTAATTTCATTAAGTTTCAGGCGTAAGAGTGTTTGAAAAAATGATTGGATACATAAATTTGTAATATCATTTTCTATTCACAGAACAAAAATCATTTAACACAATCGTAGCATTGATTTTTAATGAATTGTTAAAGTTTATTCATCCTCCTCAAAAACAGATTTTTCGCTTAGTTAAGTCATGCATAACGCGGTAAATTTTATATTGAAGATTGATAACAGGACAACTCGATACACTTCGATGTCAAGTAAGTTGTCACTCTGACAAATATGATTGAAGGGCATTCATACGTAACTACAAAGTTTTCAAGACGGAGATACACATTTTAAAAACGTACGTCTTTGAGCTTACCGAACAAACGTTCACACACAGGGGTAGGTTGCATGTGTATGAATGAAGGAGATAGGACTACAACTCTCCTCAGCTTTGCTACTGCTGTCGCAATACTACGATTTCGAAAGATCCAGGATTTTTCAACTATTTTCTTTAAACCATCATACCTTCGGTGATGAAATTTTGTGCAAAAAATATACTCATTTGTATTTGCACTTTCCCACACAAATCACTAGGTAGGTAAAATAAAAGCGATAAATCGTACTTCCTGCCTGACGAAGCATTTTGCTATATCTAGACAAAACTAATAACAGCATTGCATCACTTTCACAGAAATGACAGTGATCTAGGTGTATATCGATTTTTACAACTCTTACTGGATAATTTATTTTCTAATAGAATCTGAATGATCATTGGTGTAAACTGAATCTTTTCCACTTGAATGGTCTTTAAAACTCAATTAGGTATTGTCTTGGTGCATTACGAAGACTGTTATAAAAAGTGTTCCCACGGAGATGGCCGTTTTCACTTTTTATTGCTTTTGCTCTGCAAATGATTCAAATTCCGCATTTGCCATCACGCACATCGTCGTGCAACCTACTGTGATCTTAAAAAAAATATTGTCCAAGGATTAACACGTGCCAAGGAATAACCAGAAGTGTTTTTCTTCATAACTGCTCCCAAATTCTTGAGATTCTTCGTTACATCATTTATGGATATGGTGATCATTTGTTTCAATGTATGATGTTGTACAAATTAAGAATTAAGAGATTCTTGATTTGTTTTTCTTTTCATAGTTTATTTATACATATACTAACTGTACTGGAATACCAATTTTAAATTCGCTAACAATAAAAATTAACTCGAAAGAATATGTAAATTTACAGTATATTTTACAACAGGGTTCACATTTTGCTTGCTTGAATGTTTCAAAATAGTAAACCTAGTAGTTTTCCATATCCAGATGAATTGTCAAATCGTATATATAAATGAAATGCAAATCGAAACAGAAATATCAAGGATAGTTATGTAGATAAGATTAGTGAAACTTCCGGCAAAAAATGTTGCCCCCTCCCCCCTTCCGTTTTGAGCTGGGTGCGCCCTTGACGCGTAGCAAAATAAATTTGATTTGTCTGTATACTTTTAGCCAGTACTATACAGATCTGGAGCACCGCTAAAACTTGTTTGAATGGATGACATTTAGCAAATATTACCTAAATATACCTTATACTAAGAGCGGCATATATAAAATTATTATCTAATCTTGCAAATAGTCATTTCGACCACGTTCAGTTTAGAAAGGGATATTCATTTTTGTCGTTTGCTAGTTACACAATATTTTGCTATATATAAATTATGCCCGCTAGACTAGTTAGTGTGCTTCTTGTAATTATGTGCTTGTGCACCACCAAGAAAAATTGCAAACGTTTAACACAAGGAAAACTGGTATTCAGCTAACAACTGAGAACTGCAATATGTGATTATCCAGTGGCAGTTCACCTGTCATATGAATATATAATAATGATAATAATAATAATAATAATGCGTCTTTATTTTTAGACTAAAAGTGCAAAAAAACACTTTTGATGAGGGAGGCGGCATTAAACATCGTTGCTCTTCCATGCCACTCCAATTAATGCAAATCTAAATGGATAACCTAACAATTACATGTTAATAATAATTGTAATCAATACAAAGAACAGAAAACCATCGTAATCTTTTCACATGAGATTTAACTTTATTTCGAAAGTAATTAAGTGAGGGCCATTTTTTACTATATCTGACAATGAATTGTACGGTGTAGATGCAACATAAGGAAATGACTTTTTAAACTGTTAGGGACTATGGAACGGAACATTATAGAGGTTACAAGTACGAGTTTGCCTATCATTTCATCAGATCTCCTAACATGTTTAGTATAGAGATGAAGTGGTAGCTTGGTTTTATTAATATTGCACGTTAACCAAGCAAGATATATCAAAATACGTAAGTAGTAGGTAGTAATAATTGCTAGGGCGCTTGATGGATGGCCTTTCCTTGGCAGATTGATGTCATGTTTGAGAATAGGCAATTTTCTCTAAGATGACAATGCAGAATGTTTTTATTATTTTCAAGGGAGTTAATTAATCGTAGATTCAATTTCCCTCTTAGCGCCCCCAGGATACAAACCGGACACAAGTAAAGAATTCTCTAGAGAAAAATGAAATACTCAAGTACCTTGCTTGAGACTGTCCAGCTGCCCTATCAATACGAAAATCCTGGAAGAGAGTGTTTTCAATAGTTTGGGGTGACATTGAACCGCTGAGCTCTGTACTATTGCCTGATTATCCATTCCTCCAATACAAAATATAGACTTCAAGCAAAGATGCTACAAAAACTTTCCTGTGGAAAACAAAGTAGGAGTCGTAGTTTAAACATTTCTTCATAATTATCACTTGACGTTACCCTTTGGTTGAAATCCTTCTGGTAACCTTCTACCAGAACAACTAACTAATCATTGTTACTCTAAGTAATTCTCTCTTCCAAAAATATGGTACTGAATTTCCGCCACTGTATCACTCTTATAATTTTGCCCGAGATTAAGTAACGTGTCTTGCACGCAATTATCTCCTAGTTGACCTCCTTTCAGCGTATAAATCTTTGTAGTCTGTGGCAGACACGCTAAAAATTTAATGGTGTTTTTTGTATCTAATTAAGGCTTTATAATATTCGGAAAAATACATAATTCAGAGAAAGCGGGAATATTTTGAGTAGGCAACTTTATTATTTTAGTCTGAGCGATTTTTCCGTTTTTTTTTGTCCGAAGCTGGGTCTTGGCATACTAGTAATCTTGTGCCAAAATTCTGTTAAAAAGTGAGCGGTACTTTTCAAGTTATAGCCAGGTCAGAGGTTAATGGACAGACAGACCCAATGGAATGAACGTCATGATTTTCACAGAATTATACAGGGTGTCTGCGAAAGGTTGGGAAATCTCTAAACTGGAGATACTACAGACCAAAATATATGTAGTGACCTGAACATCCCTTAGTCCAAAAGTTGATAGTTTGCGAGATACAGGTTTGTCAAAGTTACAATTTTATTTTCTATTTTTCCTTATTGCTTGAGAAGTATTTCAGATTTTGGCATAAAACTCGGTATAGGGAGGTTTTCTAGTATGAGAAACAAGAATTCGTTATTTTTTAAGGCCACTTACAGCACTATTTCGGTAAATAACTTATCATAACTTTTTTGTATTTTCACAACAAAAAAGGTTCACTTGTTAGAAAAGTCTAAAGCTAATAGTTTTTCGAGATATTTGTTTTTAAAAGTTCCAATGCATGATTTGTACCATGATGATAAAACATTTTTATAACATACTATATTGATTATTATTTTTACGGCATAATCCCTTATTAAACCAATCTCTAGAATTTTATGATAAACTCAAATAGCTTCACAACGATTGAAGATAGGTATATAAACTTTATTATACAAAAGTTACTAAAAACTTTATGGAGAATCTAAAAATTAAAAAAGAGGGTTTCCATTCAAAAATCTGAAATGTAACGCAATATTTTATTTTAGGATCACCCTGTATTGTACGGCTATAGATGATAAGACATCCCTCTGGAAATCAAAATTGATTTGTCTGAGCGTTTTTCCCAAAATGTACCAGGGGAGTCACAAATGGGGATGCGACCCTATATAAAGAATCGCTTTATAACAAAATACATTAATTAGTACAGGTATCGCTAAAAATTCACCAATTCCAGTACCAGAGTCGTAAATCATCAGACTATAAAGTTGTACCATATGTGTTATATATTTAATACAAAGTGCTCTGATATTTAATTTATGATGATTTAGCATTATTATGCATCCAATAAAACTGGTGAGAAAGTGTAAAAATATTTTTTTCTCTTTAATATAAAACCATGTGACGATTATTCTATAAGTTATTACGAACGACACTTCAAAAGAAAGTGCTATAGATGCCTACATCTAGTGCAAGCCAATTAAGTGAAATGGCACTGTAAGAATGCAAATAGTTGTAATGTATCCTGTCCAATCAGCCGTTGATCGACGTAATAATATATTTGCGCGTGAGCTGCTTATTGAGAGCAGACTGCTGTTATAACAGCTGCGGGAGGGAAAAGTGAATATTTGATAGAAGAGCAGATTGTTTCAATTTCATCCTATATACACATGCGGACAGGTGTGCGATGCTATGTTCAATAACTCAAACACCTGTTGCTCTGCTATGGCACTCCGAAGAAGTTTGCTCTCTTCTTTTCAATGACCCAAGCTCCTGAATCCTAGGAAAAATTTTACTCTTGAGAAACATGGCGGTTGTTCCATTGGAAACAGCAGTTTGGTGGTCGTGGAGTAACCCATCGCAATATTTCTTGTTTTGCAGGGGCTCCTGCAACGCTCCCGAATATAGATTGGGTGTAAGTAGGCACCAGGTCAATGTTGCACTAAATGAGTGGGCATATACTTAAACGTGTGTGTGGCAAGAGAGAGAAAGATGACTGGAGGCAGGTCAAAAGGTTCATAGAGGGGCCCCAAAAGTAGAGAGAGACTCGTTCAACCATTCGGTGAGAGCTCTCATCGGCCACTGTAGACAGACCAGTCACTTGTGTTTTCTAACGGTTAGAAGAGATTCTGTTTGTCCCATGTTCTGGGAGGAGAACGAGATGCTGTTGCGCTTCCTAGATTGCAGCTTGAAGGCTAACATATTCGGAGCTATGGAGTTTAATAACCCTCGGAGAGGTTGTCGGATATGTTGACTTGCAAAAGGAGATCAGAAAGGTTCGATAGATTAGTGAGCATGTAAGCATGTAGAGTAAAAGGATACTCGGCGTTGACAAAAAGGGTCAAAGATGGCCTATCTTCCAGGCGTTGTCTCCTCATCATCACTAATACTAGTGCTTATGATTGTCATAGGAAAACATTCCATCCCACGGTTTTTGTATGGAGTCGTCAGTGAGTTATATATATATATAACTTGAGACGTGGTCATTGTCGTCTAGACCAGTTAGGTGAAAAATTAAAGCTTTCGCCTTTTTTTACAAGTATCAAAGTTCTTGATAAAGAAAAACACCTTTCCAAACGTTTATTCCTGGAAATGTCCCACATTTTCATGAATAACAACTGTATCAACAAAAAGACAGATGTTAAACAACTGAGCGTCATTTACTCATATTTGCTAAACTGCGAAAAATTAGAGAACTTACATATCTCCCCAAATTTCGACTCTTCACAACCATAAATAGAATCTGTGTTTTGGCCGATTCCACCAGTAAATTTCATTCCACTCAAAATCTAATAATTCTCTTCTCACGATTTATTGATAATTGTTAATTTAAATTCCCATTAATTAAAATATAGTTTATTCAACTGCCTCTGGTCGGTTTAACAATTTCTTACATAACATTCTGAAAATCACATCATCTGAAGTGATTTGGCAACGTTGGCACATTGACACACGCCCACAATTCGTTCCATCTTTCAACACAGACATTGACAACCTTCGGCTTTCTGTCAAAGGGTTCATCTCACTCATTATTCCATGACCACCATTTTGTGCAATCATCAATTGGCTTCACGATGTAATGCTCTAATGATTTTCAAATAATTTTTAATCTGTTTTTAACTTGTTCTTGTCATATTTTATATAATTTTGACCATTGTACCATCTATCCAGCTCTCACCATGATACTGGACGTTTCCCTCATCCTATACGTAAACAACAATTAGCAACATCCTCACATACTACTGTAAGTTGAGTCAATTTAAATTCATTTTACACTTTTGTTGCTACTGTTATCATTGTAATTGCAGCTCCTGATGATGATAGCAAAGTCCATTGAAAGCTAGAGAGAATTAAAAAAGTATAAAGAGTCCTCTTTGCTTAAATTTTGTCGAAGTACCCAACAAAAGGCGGAAGCTTTAATTTTTCACCTATGTATATATATATATATATATATATATATATATATATATATGTATGTATATATATATATATGTATATATATATATATAGAAGAAGCCTTGCTATTATCATTGGATACGCAAAAAAGCCACAGATAAGATTTCTAGAGAGGGTTTGCGGTTCAGTAAGCTGTCAAATCTGACACGTCGCCGTCTTTCCATTAACCATATTCGGCAGTGGCCGGCTTTTTGATATTTTTTGTGGTGCCATTTCCCATAGCATTCAACAACACCAAATGCGTCGAATATAAGAAAATATAATTGGATACGACAATTGGATCCATGATCGTAAGATATCCATTCTAGGTGATGATGGTGTGCTTCAGGGATCTTTTTGGGTCCAACATTGTTTCTCTTGCATATTGATGATACTCTTTCCTGTACGAAGAATGCGATCCACAAGCTTTGCGAATGACAGCACTTTGCGAGAAAGTATTGAGAGCGGCGAATGGAAACAATCTGTATGAAAAGGGTTTGTCCAGTACTTTTAACCTTAGGCAGTTCGAAAATCGGATCAAAAGGATATCTTAATTCACCTCTTTAACGCAATCGCGGTACCTCCAAATCGCCCAAGCCTCGAGGATTTTTTTGTGATTATAATTTGATAGAGATATAGTCGCAGTTCTTATAACTCTAATTTGTCTTTTGATATCCAAGTCCAGCAAAATTTGGATTTCTCCTAGGATCTATAAAAAATTAACCTTACTTTAAGTGTTGTCTATCATAGGCAATGTAAGAGTTTAACAGCAGATTATTATGTAAACTAGAAAATGAAACTGTACAGACATTAAAATTAACACGGATTCAATTACATAAAATTTTTCATGATGCAATTGTATGCAGAAAAATGCAAGAACAGCAAAATGGTTTGTTTTCAAATTACTGTCTGTGACTACTTTCTCTTTCATAAACTGTTTGTATTTATTTTCTTTGTGTTATCATGCAAGCGTGCCATGTCAAAACACAACAACAATACGGTGTGATACTTCCTACGAATTATTGATATGATTCAATACGTAAATCAAGGTTATTTGACATCATTGATTGGCCCCAAGATGCCCACCCATGTGATGTATTTGAACGCTTACACCGTGAGTAATTAACTTATAAGTAATAAAGTACACTCCATTTTCCTTTCAAAAAAGTTGTCTATTCCTAAGCATCAACCTTTTAAGGAAAGATTATCTATTCTCCGAAATTCTCAACGACGGTAAAGGAAATCCTATAACCCGCGGCAGCTGTTGAAATGTGGCAACACTGACATCCAAAGTTGGTGAACGACACGTATAGTTGTAAACTTATGCTTATTTTCGTGCAGATGTGACTTTCAATTGAGTGGGAAATCTTGCGGTGGCACAT